GTGTTGAAACAACGACACATGACGCATGTGATATACTATCACAGTGGATGCAGTGAGGTGATGATGGACCTGAAAGCACAAAGAGGACCGAATGATGAGGACCTAACCAGGGGCAGCACATGGAGGATTAGAGGGCCATGTAGGAGCCGAAGATGGGCTCGAAGAAATACCCAGGAGAATAGAGGTGTGAAGATTGATCTGGGGAAGAGTAACCGACACAGAAGAGGGGAACGAAGAAGAAAAAGGTTGAGCAACAAAGCGTTCCGTTTTCTGGCTAGAGAGTTCGCTAGATTAGTGAGGTGTAAGCTCTCTCGCCCTGCTGTGCTCTCTGAAGCGGGCCTGGCTACATCATTCATAGCAGTACAGAAAGAGAAAAACCATATCGGGATAGTTTTCTTTAATTTCCCATTGGCCCTAGCGGAAAAATAACATGCCGCAGGAAAGAAAGACATGATATATCAAAGAAAACAGCCCTCGTCAGCCTCGGTCAGCAAACATGGAATCACAGCCGTCAATGTGTGATAGTGAGCCGGGGTTCGTGTGATCAACAGCTATTACTAATCATCCGTCTGCATAGGCCATCACACTTTTCTTTTATCATGCTGATAAAGCCAGGGAGTCGTTCGTATCTTCCTTTTTTGACGTGTTGATGAGCGGCGGAGGCAATAGCCTGCATCGCGTGGCGAGCTGTAGGGTGTCAGATGTCATGGCATCGTAACACTACAAAAAGTAAGCCATCAGGAACGAGTCTAGGGGTGTGAAGTTGTCAGTTACTCCGGCAAATGCATGGTATTCATAGATAGAAGTCGAGGGTGACCAGATATGCAGCAATGGGCTTACTATGTATGCGCTTTATGCCAACTTTCCTCACCGGGACACAAGGTCATCCCTTTTATGCGAGTGAGATCTACATACTCGTGACAAAATCTAAATGGCCGATCGGTCGTAACACACATCGCGGGGTTCGAAGAAATGTCAACAATATCACCTGCATGGATCCAAGCGAATCGGAAATACTCGGATGACTTGCTGCGATCGCAAATGTCATCGAGCACATGGGCTGGATTTAATGAGATGCACCAGCGAGGCAATTCTCCGCTTGTCCTGCTACGTGCTTTCAGTTCGGTAGTCTGCTGTAGGCATTAAATCTAGAAAAGACATCCATCCATACAAGCCGAGCATACTTTGCCTTGTCGACGTGGAATCAGTCCGACTCAACAGTTGACAAATAGTGAGACTGACCGGAGCATGGTTGCTCCTTGGAAAAATGGCCCTTTTCCGATATTGAACTGTAGTGAGTGTCATCCGGCAAATCACACGGTCGGTTCGGAATGATGAATTCTCGATGGCTAGACGACAGCTTGCTATGCGCACTAGTGTCGATTAGCCAAAGGAATCAAAAGCAAACAAACCCAGGGGAGTTTCATGTTAGCAGTCTATGCGATGCAGGAACAGCCACCTCGCATGGGGCAAATCTACGGCACGGCAAAGAAGATAGTATGTGAGTCTGCGACAATTCCTCTGAGCGTCATTCAATCCCCAGTGGGACACATCACCATGCAAATTCCCGCAATCCTCCTTAATGTCTATCATCCCTTGCTTCCAGACGACACAGTGGCTGCATCGTGGCTGGATCGTTTCCCGCAACTGCAGCGAGCGCGTATCATGAATGCAAGAGACTACTCCGTACCAAGCTTGTCCCTGATTGCTGACGCACGTTAGTAGTACTCAAAAGCAACGACACCCGACCATTGATTCACTAACGGCGCAAAACAAGCAAAACAGGCAAAATACAGGTGACTCCAGAATACTTTGATCGCCGGCGCAGAATCAAATTACTGCAGAGGAAGCCCCTTAAGGGGATAGTGCTAACCCAGGGATGGTCGATCTCAACCAGGAGCCTTCGCTCCCCAGTGAATCAATCCTCCGCGGCCCTGGGGAGCTGGTGTTTCATGGAAGATACTTCATCACAACCTCGGCAGAGCCCGGGCATGCCGGTCATTGCTGCCTAAGTTGACATGCCGACGTTGGCTGGTACCTGCCTATGAAAACCCAGCTTAGAGAACAGCAGACGAATGGCAAGCTCAGGAGCTCCCACTCCATGTGCATGACCCGGATGATCGACAAGTTTGAGATGCGCAGCCGGGCAATCATCCGACGCAATCCCAAACCATCCTGTCCCCAGCCTCGAATAGTTCCGCCGATCCGACCGATCAGTTTGCGACACGATGATGCGGCCCTGTCGATCATCAAACCCGGGGAGGGAATGTTGAAGGCCAGAGGCAAAAGCTGTGTGATCCAACATGCCAGCCGGGGTCCCATTGAACGTGGTCAGTGCGTTTACAGACGGTACAGCTGTCTACCACGCACTTATCGTGAGTCATTAATATGGCGACATCACTGCGGCTTCTTCGCACACCGCAAAACGCCATCGTGTCGAGTTGGGCATTCAGGTGGCAATAGAGCAACTGACAGCAGCAGCATGCGATAAACCAGCAGCGTTCTGGAAATTGAAATCCGATAAAAACTGGGCCAGATCAGCCGTGGATCAACCATGGATGTTTGGGATCCACACGGATGAGCGACGCGCAAACCACCGCAAGGGATTCCAGCCCACCATTGCTGTTAGCGGTGCAAAATCTTATCGCTAGCGTCACTGTGTGGCCACGGCCCGGTTTATCAAACGGCCTGGGACTGGCTGGAGGCCGAGTTCACAACGATGGATGACGGCTCATTGCTGCCCATTTTTTCAGCGCCTTATAAATCTCCAGAGCCAAAAAGCAAAAGAATCGCCCTGATACTCCGCTGGCCCGGTCCACTTTGCTTCAGCGGTGACGGAGACCTGATCCCGAAATCCCTTAAAAACAATCGCCAGACCGCAGGCGGGTCGGGACCCTGAAGTGCAGTAATCCTTGTGCTAAATCGTTCCCTTTTCTCCCCGGTGGTTGTGCCTCTACAGAGGATGCCGTCCGACCAGCCCTACCCGACTCGGGATGATGCCCCCCGATCCCCGAGTCCGAACAACGACAAGAACAAGACCACTGTTGAACTGACGCAGACCAGCCTGGACTCGGCTCCGATGTCTCGGCGATCCTCTCTCTCACTGACCGACCAGGCCAGTAGTAGTAAATTCGCCTCCACCCCCGCGACCGGAGCTCAAACCCCGGATCCTTTGTACGCCCACCTCGCCGGCCACGACGACACGCTCAAGAAATTCCCCCAGGTTATTGCACGTGCCCGAGAGGACAGTGAAGACGAAAATTATGAGTTGCCTGTCGCACGACACAGTCGCGGCGATGCAGATCCTACCGATGGCCAGCACCTCAGCTACCGCCGGCCTTCTATGGTCGCAGCTCAGGGCAGAGACTTCCCCGACGAGGCCGGCTCCCCACCCCCTAAGCCCACCCAGGGTCGTCCTCCAGAAATTAGCAGTTTCGGTGCCGAGATCGTGTTGATCGCGGTCTGCTCCGCAGGTCTGATGTTGTTTTCTTTCCTACTCGGAGATGTTCTCGCTCCGCAGCTCCAGTTCCGCCAAGCCCTCGGCATCACCAACACCGAGCTACCCTGGCTTGTGGGCTCATTCAACGTCGCCAATGGGTTGTCCGTCGTGGTATCCGGCTCGTTGACGGACCTGACGCCTCCCAAAGCCCTTATGGTCGGGGCCTTCCTCTGGCTCAGCGTCTGGAACATCATTGGCGCCTTCTCTGTCCACCCCTCCCGTTATGTGCTCTTCTTCGTGGTGCGCGCCATGCAGGGCCTGGCCATCGGCGTCCTGGTCTCCGGTAGCATGAGCATTCTCGGCCGCGTTTACAAGCCAGGCATTCGCAAGAACCGTGTCTTCTCCGCCATGGCCGCCTGCGCCCCGTTCGGCTTCTCCCTGGGCGCCATTGAAGGCGGTCTCCTCTATCAAAACCTTCCGTGGATCTTCGGTTGCAACGCCATCATCACCGCCATCTGTGCTGTCGGCGCTTACTTCTCCATCCCCCCGCTGCGCCCCATGGCAGACTCCGCCGGAGGTGAGGTGCCCTCGCTGCGCCAGTTCGACTACCTCGGCGCCGCCTTCGCCGTTGGCGGCTGTGTCTGCTTACTCTTCGGACTGACCCAGGGTGGCGTCACCGACTGGTCCGTATACACCTGCGTGCTTACAGCAGTAGGCATCGTCCTGCTCATCGGTCTCTTCATCGTGGAGCGCTACGTACCACGCCCTCTGATCCCCAACCGCCTCTGGAATACCAAGGGCTTCACTCCGCTCATGATCGCCTACTTCCTGGGCTTCGGGTCCTTCTTCGGCGCCTGGCAATTCTACGCCATCCAGTTCTGGCTGCGCATCCAGCACGCCAGTCCCATCGATGTGGCACTATATCACCTCCCAAACGCCATTTTTGGCGTTATCGCCACCTGGGTGGTCAGCCGCACCTTGCATCTCGTCCCGGGCCACTACATCTACACTATCTCCATGTTCGCCTTTACGCTCGGACCGGCATTCTTTCTTCCCCAGAGCCCTACCACTACGTACTGGGAACTTTCTCTTCCTGGTGTGGCGCTTGTTACCTTTGGCCCCGATTTGGCTTTCGCAGCCGCTTCCATCTTCATCACCAGTAATGTGGCGCGCTCGTACCAGGGCAGTGCGGGGAGTCTGCTGGTTACGAACCAGAACCTGTCGTCGGCGATTATCACCAGTGTGGCGGATGCGATTGGCACGCGGGTTGATAAGCAGGCTGATGGGAGTGTCGGGCTTACTGGACTGCGTGCTATCTGGTGGTTCGCACTAGCGTGTCAGTTGCTGGCAGCACTGGTTACGGTTACGTCGGTGAGGATACCCAAGGAGGAGGAGAAGGAGCATGTTACTTGATTGCCTGATGGCTTTATGTGTGTTTAATTCTCGGTTTCGTTTTTCGGGTTTATACGGTGCATCCTAAAGTAGATAGATGGTTGGGAACTTCATTCTATACATAGATTTCGGCCTTAATGGATTCAAAATGCATACATAATCATATCTTCTATATTGGAACACTACTATACTCTTCCTCATGATCTACCACCGGTAAATCCAACCCCCTATGCAACCTCCGCCGAATTCTCTCCCCATCGTCGTTACTACCATCTAAGAACCCCCGCCTGAGCAAGAAATCCACCACCACCACCGCACTATTCGGTTTAAACCTCCCCTCCCCTAGCGCCTTCTTCACCTCCTGTACCCCCCACAGCCTAAAATCCTCCACTTCACTATCTGCCGGACTTGGAACCACCTCCTTCCCCAGCCTCAACTCATACAAATACTCCACTTCGGGCTGCAACAGCTCCACCATCCCTATCCCGCCAACGTTCTCCTTCTTAACATGAAAATACGAAATCCGATCCACAAACCTCATCTCCCTCCGCATCAACTCTTCTGGGATTCCCGCCTCCTCGCTCGCCTCCCGCATGATGGCCTCCCTCGGTGGCAACCTCGTACTTAGCCCCCCCGCGGCAGTGGTGTCTAACATGCCGGGGTAGGTCTGTTTAAGGGAGGAGCGTTTGGCGATCCAGAGGTGCGGCGTGCTGGAGACTTCGTCGTCGGTGTAGCAGAGCATTTGCACGCCGTAGGTTACTATGCCGAAGAGGGCGCTTGCGGCGCGTTCTATTTCCAGGATGATGGTCCCGTCTGGCCCATAGAGGGGGAAGGTCTCGTTACGCCAGCCGCGGAGGATGCCGTGGGAGGCAAGTTGCTGGAGGGTGGGGAGGAGGATGGCGGTGCGGGTGGAGGCGGTTGCGGTGGGAGGTGTGAGGAGGGTCATTGTTTTGTTGGTGGGGGTGGTGTTAATGGTCCATGTGTCTGATGGCCAGGGGAAGGTGGTTATTAGCTCGTTGGGGATGTAGCCTAGGGTTTGGGGGATGCCGGTGATCCGGAAGGCGTGGTAATTATGCAGGATGGGGTTGTCGGCATCGGTGGTGGTGGGGTAGGGGAAGCTGTTGGGGAGGTTAAATTAGATCGGATTGACTGGGTGGATGGACTTGCTTGTCGAGATCTGCTACGACCTGGTACATTGATGATGATATTGTTGACATGCTGTATGTTGTAGTCAATTGCAGTAGTGGGTGTTTAGTTGAGTCCAGATGCGGGGGGGATGTCAGGGTCTAGTCTATCTAGGTGGACAAAGATAATACTATTTAACTAGCAGGCTAGCTACTAGCTGCTAGTTTCCTCACTAAACTACTCTGTACTGTTAGCTGTCAGTGATCGGGCCGAGCTCAGACTGGCCGCATTGTCCCTCTGCAGAGATCATCAGAATCGGAAGTTTTAGCTAGCTGTGACCTGCAGATGCTTTATTAAGTATTGGGTGGTGGCAGAGACCCCAATGAAATAGAGAAGATATTACCAATTGGGCAACTTCGTAAGTGTGAATGCTACTTTTCGCTAGTGTTGAGAGAGTTATAGGGCATACCTATAATAATAATAATAATAACATGTCTTAGGTATAGCTGCACCAGATCACGTGCACTAGCCTTGCCCGGAGTGGAGGGATTCCTACGAAATGAAGTCATTCAGGAACAGCCCACAACACCTCACTTCTCCCCCTCTCATCGTCCATTCTATCTTTCACTCACATACCACCATCATCTTCCACATATCTTCCTGAACATATCTAATTACCGTGGCGCCTCAACAACTCCCTCGCTTTCGCTGGCGCTCCCCCCGGGCCCCCATCAGGCCACCCCTTCCTCCTCCGCCCCTCCGCTTCCCTGCAGCTCGCCATTCGCGAACAGGCAAACTCTTTCGCCATTTTCTTCGCTTCCTGTTCGGTCCACACGCCCCTACCCGTGCACAGTCCCGTCTCTGGAGTCTGCGTCACGAAACAATCCCCGCTCTTCGACATCGAGCACAGGCGGGGCTATACCGGGCCTTGGTGAAGCGGCAGGCGAGACTCGCACGCAACAAACGGGATTCTGGTCGGAAGGGTATCCTTGGTTACCTGAACAAAAAGGGGAACCGCTTGGCTGGTCGGACAGCTTCTCCGACGGGTGGTATTGTACATAGGAGGCTGGCGCAAAGCACCGGGGCTTTGCGAGCGGGGAGCAACAAAAATTCAGGCCTCACGCCAATGTCACAGTACGAGCCTTCATCCTCGTCATCATGGGGCTCTAATGATGGTCGGGAGCGGGGAACGCGCCGCAAGAAGGTCTTTGACTACCTGAAGGCTGCCAATGAGCTGCGCCAAACCTATGCTGCGCAATGGTCGGCCCAGATCAGTGGCCAGAGCGACTATGACGACTATCGTGATACCCCGGGCGCATTTCCCGACGTTGAGATTGCACGATCCGAATTTGAAGAGATGGTGATATTCCCAAGCTATGCGAGGCGATTGGTGAAACATGAGCACGTGGATTCATACTATAGCCGCCGTCGAGGATCAAATGCAACCCTTGAGGAATATCGGGGCGAGTCCGATGGCTTTGGCACAGGCATGCCGATATGGGATGAACTGGAAGACCAGAATGCGATCGTTGCAGTCGATGTGCGTGGCTGGGTATACGCACCTCATCGCGGGCCGATGACTCGGAAACATCGTCTGATGGTCGCTCTTGCCAGAAAGCTCAGCGGAGTGCCAGCTCCTATGAACAGCACGAATGATGGTGATGAACATAACACAAATGACTCTAGGACTGAGAAGGGGGACGAAGAGCTGGTCAATTCGCAGGCACAATCGATCATTAAGCAGGCTGAAAAGGAGGCTGATCCCGTATGGAAAGACAGCGCAGAAAACCGTGATGCCCAAAATACTCCCGGCCGCCCTCTCCAGAGGGCAGCAACGGCACCGCTGAGCAAGGATGAACTCTCCGTCGCCAATGCGCACCTTCTGGAGCGATTACGCCCTTTCTTGACGAACCCGGTAACAGGAATTCCCGTCACTGTCTTCTTCTTCAACAACGACAAAAGCCAGTCGAGGAGCGTGATGACCGATGAGTCCGGTCACTTTCGCCTACGAGCGTCGCTACCTTTTATCCCGACTCACGCCCGTGTGCTAGCCTCCGAGGATCTGTCGGCTGTGAAGGAAGTCAAGGTCATCGAGCCCACGGGCGTTAGCTTAATCAGCGATATCGACGACACGGTAAAACATTCTGCTATTGCTAGCGGGGCCAAAGAGATGTTTCGCAACACCTTCGTCCGTGAATTGAACGAGTTGACGGTCGACGGTGTTACGGACTGGTATGGCAAGCTGGCGAAGATGGGAGTCGACCTGCACTATGTCTCTAATGCCCCATGGCAACTGTATCCACTTCTGGAACGCTACTTCAAGCTCGCCGGCCTGCCCCCGGGTTCTTTCCACTTGAAACAGTACAGTGGTATGCTTCAGGGTATATTCGAGCCTACGGCGGAAAGGAAGAGGGGCTCTTTGGAGCAGATTTTGAGAGACTTTCCTACCCGCAAGTTCATTCTCGTCGGAGATAGCGGTGAAGCGGATTTGGAGGTATATACCGACATCGTTTTAGCAAACCCGGGACGGATTCTGGGAATCTTCATTCGCGACGTTACCACCACCGATCGACAGAAATTCTTTGAGAAGTCAGTGGACCACTTGGAACATGATTTGAACCGGAGCCGCAGCAGCCCGCAACTTGTGGATACTTCTGATGCCGTGTCTAAACGTCCGGCATTACCACCTCGGCGGCCCGTGGAAACGGCCGATCCGTCCGCGGATGCCGTGAGCCTAGACAACGCCGACTTGATTGATCTGAGCGATGAGGTGGAACAGAAGATGTCTTTGGCTGATGTGAAGAAGCCCTCCACCGGGCGCGGACCACCCGCGAAACCTTCCAAGCCCTCCGCGTTGCGCTCAGTTTCGACGAATCCAGACATGGGCAAAGACGATCAGCCTTCACTTCAAGAAACAGCCAAACGAAAACCTGTGCCACCACTACCCCCACGCCGCTCTTCCACTAAGCCCGATATTTCATCCGACAACATGATTGATACCGAAAATAATACGCCTGTGAATAATGTAGCGAGCACACTGCCCATACGTCCTAAGCCTAGCATACAAGATATCCCCAACGACAACGGGACTGGCACGAGGCCGGCACGCTCAAAGCAAGCACCGCCACCTCCTCCGCCACGCAGAACCAACACAGGAACTTCAACCCCGGGTTCTATCTCATCACAGCAAACTACAAACCGCCGAACACCCCCTCCCCTTCCCCCGAAACAATCATACCCCGCATCTGCAGCCACAGCAGCTACAGCAGCGCTACAATACGCCTCCGACCGTTTGAACTGGTCTCCAACCCCATCGAACATTCTCCGACCGGCCCAGCCAAGCTCCTCAGCAAGCAGGTCCAGCACCGGCGTTGACAGTAGCACTCCGAACTCAACGGCGGTCCCAGCAGCTCCTTTGCCTAACAAACGAGAGGAACTATGGCGACGTCGCTGGGAACGCGCCCAAGAACTTCTGGAAAAGCAAGGCGTGGTGCTGGGCAGTTGGCGCGTGGGCCAAGATGCACAGGACGTGAGTTGCTGGTTGGTAGAGGAGGCGATGAAGGATATGAAACGGGAGTGAGGAGTCAGCTAGCCTGGAGGGTGGCAGAGCCAAGACCCTGGTTGGTCATTTTGCATATACACATACGTATATATAGCCTCTCAGCGTCTTCTGGGAGGTTGTATAGCCTCAATACATCTGAAAAGTAATAGATACCATTAGTGTGGGCAGCTTAGTGAGCATATACACTTCCTCTGCATATTTTCTAATAAGTTCCTTAGTGCGATGATAAACCTGGTGACAGGGCTTGTGGTTATTACGTCCTCGTAGCGACCCCTTAAATTGTAGATACTCAAGGCCATGCGTGGTTGTAGTGCAGCTAGCGCTTTCAGTTCATACTACATGATCTCATGTAGGCCGCAAGTTTCTGGCCCAGCTACCCCAACCACAACTATGACAAAACATCAGTACTAGTAGTCGACTGATGATAATCTCGACTTTCACATGTCAAATTACTGCCTCTAGAATGTTACATTATGCTGAGCTCCGAAAATCCACACATGAAGCATTTTCTGGGCATAAGGAGGTGAAGAACTTCTAGCAGCAGTAGATTTCCATCTTACTCAAGCGTATACAACAGCGTCCCCCATCCCAACTGATCATACCCACCACTCGTAGTTCCATAATCGCCACCACCGCCCTCTGCTCCATCGCCATCCTCAACGACCATATCGCGATATTCCTTTGTGTAAGTAACATTCAGTCCCTTGAGTACACCATAATGGTTATACAGCAACTCCCAGATGGGTCTGACATCTCCGCGACTGGAATTGCTTATAACCGTCTGGTTGACGTCGTCGCTGTTGTTGTATGTCGTGTAGGGAACGTCGTTGCCAAGGTTGTATTTGGCGACGTATTCCGCACTAAAGTCATCTTAGTGTAAGCATGATGTGTTCCATACAGAGAGGAAGGATAGGGGAAGAAGTAGATAAACAAAGTATAGGAGAGAGAGGGAGTGTGTGTGTGTGTGTGTGTGTGTGTGTGGAAAAGGCAACTCACCCAGCCAGAATGCGATTATCCAAATACTCAAACAGATCAGTCCCCTGATTATAAGCCGTCAGGGCAATCGGCCCTAGGAGAGCAAAATCCAACATCGAGTGGCCCTGATCACGCCCTGCCTCTTGACCCTGACCCAGGGATTCGCCATCCACCTCATACAGTTTCCAGATGGCATTTTCAATTTGGCCATTTCCCTCACCAGACTTGAAATAAGTCAATCCCTCATCGAACATAGTTTGATTATCAGTCAACACGCCAATGGA